GCAGCACCCAGCCACACAACAGACGGGTCCCCAGGGGAGGCCTGGCTCGGGGGGGCTGTTCTAGCAATCTCACGGGCCTCTCATCGTGTTAAGCCCTTACTCAATTTCCCCATTAAAATCCTCTCGGCACCATCTAATATTTACAGCTCTCGCCCTAATACCACCCTCCAGTCTCTCCTACGCACTCCTTTATACAACCTACCCCGAGTATCTCTTATATTCTTAAGTATCATCTACGTCTGACTCACTTCAACTGACTTAATTCCTAAAATGGAATAACAGCACGCGCTCCCCATGGGGCTGAAGGAGGCATCATGTGAGGATCACTTTTTCTTCTTTTCTTTTTTAAATGCAGCTGTCTTCTCCTCATACACGGGGGACAAGCTGTATTTTACTACCCTGTTTTAGACAGCTGTATGATAGGTGACTATCTTGTACGGTTCGAAGAGGACTCGAGTACCGCTGGCATGTTTTGCTCAGTGGGGAAGTTTCACTCTATTGAATATACAAGGAATTGAAGGTAGTATTTTACTCATGTTAAGTCATGGACTGGTTTCTTCAGCCCTTCTTTTATGTATAGGTGCTTTATATGATCGACATAAAACCCGACTTGTTACACTAGCTGCCCCTAACGTATCTAGTATCGAGATTTACCTTATGTTTGCACTAGTCCGACCACAAGCCCACTACACAGCCTAGCTAATTTACTCATCCAGAGCCAACACCAGTACTCGCCCCAGCCGTTTCCCGCCGACCCGCCAGCGCAACAAGTAGAAATTGTTTTGGCTGGCAGCGCCAGTCTTTGAGGGTCGGTACCCCAAGCCTCCGGGAGTTGCAGGGCGTTAACGACAACGCCCCGCGGCTGATGTATGGGCCACATAGTGGTGGTTTAATATAGTGTGAAGCAAGCTGTTCCACGGGTTATCTGTTGCACACTGTTTTACCTACGGGACGCTTTGCTCCCCGACTACCTATCCCCTCAGGAAGGAGCCTTCCCACTTGAGCCGATCGCCCTCAGGGTTGAATCTAACCCCTAGCGCTGGAGGGAAGGCCTGACCTGCTAGGGGGGGCGAACCGTCTATCTTAGGTGGTGGGCGCGAAGTGTGCAGCAGGCGGCCATGGGGAGCCGAATGGATGCCTTGGGGAATCGAACCGACGACCTCCTGAATACCACTTACATGCTCAACCAACTGAGTGTCATAGTCTCATAGATATTAAATGTGGTTACACCATCTTCTTATTTTCCAACATTTTCTGGAAAATGAAAATTTCAATCATTTTTTAATTCTGTGAAATGTGCACCCTAATGCCTGGCAGCCCAGCTGGTTGTCCAACTCAGGCATCCGGATGGGAACCAGGACAGCCCAGGGCCTCCTGGACATCCTGCTACATGGCCAGGAGGTCCATTGTGCATGCATGCTTCAATAGCAGAGTACCCTTTTTATTTCACAGCTAGGCACTTCATTCACAAGCGCTTAGAAAATGGTTTCAAAATATGCTATGATTGTCAAAAAACTGTTGTTAAAGAGGCAACGGAAAGAGCAGTAGACAGATCCACAACACACATGTCTTACCTGCTGATGTGGATCTCCAACGAGGATTTTACTGCACTGCTGTTGGCTAAGCACAATATCCTTCATAACAGGGCTTGCATCCTGTGCCTCGTCCAACATTAAGCAATCATAATCGAAATCAAGGCGGTGTTTTCCCAGCTGATACATCTTCAAGTACCCGCCATGGGTCATGCGGACATCTTTCCTCTGCTTATCCTTCATCATCGACCACAATTCCATAGCCCGCTGCACATATTCATTTTCTTTGTCCCTGCCTTTGTCGGGGACGTGCTTTGTCGAAATCTGCATATCCTCTGAGGAGAGATAACTGTGGAAGACAACATGCAATCCACAACAAGACAGCCGATTAGTGAAATCAGGTTCTGGTGATTGACGCTGCTGTTCTACAAAGATGCTTCTTGTAGTATATTATGAGTCCTAACATGTTTTTATTTCCCTTTCTCTGAAAACTTCTGAATTTGCTTAGCCTTTGCCTTTTCCCTTCCTGTAGGGAGGTCCTCCTTTCTATCTACAAGAGCACTACACCAGGCTTATCAACGCCAAGAGGGGAGGAGTATTACACGTTTTGAGAATTCAAAAAGCAAAGAAGCAAACAGATAGTATGTGTGCTTTTGCCAGTCTTTTCTCCTAGTCATCGCTACACATCCTTACTAACAGCAAGTATACCAGAATGACGAGTACCACACAGAAGTATGCTATCATCACTGTCACATTGGCCGAGATAGCACGTTGGCGTTGCACTCTCGAACTTGCAAAGAATTTATAGATGTGGCCAAGCTGCGAAGAAGGCCATGGATTCATCTATGAAGATTGGGACACCAACCTTCCAGATGTACAGAACAATACCCAGAAGGAAACTGTGTGAATGTTGAGAAACAGATGCATTGAATATGCACAAGCATGCATGCATCGAACAGGATGCACAGACACACACCAATTCCTCTGCATGCCAATAAGGACACCATCCTTGCATGCATCGAACAGGATGCACAGACACACACCAATTCCTCTGCATGCCAATTAGGACACCATCCTTCCATATGTCCAGTACGTACAAGGACACAATGCAAGCGTTGAGAAACATCTGCATTCGCACGCACACTCTCACGCACACCCACACCCACGTACACAGACATACGAAGCCCACCTGCACACGAGCAGCTGCATGCACAGACGGGGAAGAAAGCAATGACTGATAACCCTACTGACCAGTGACAAAAACAAGAATCAAGGATCGCAAGCAGGATTGCAAAGATATGAATCATGAAAAGGACTGTGGGTGTTTGCATTGATGGGAAGTCTCACCCTTCAAGAGTCTTTACAGTGAATTCCGCATCTGCATGGGGCGTTCTCATGGTTCTGCTCACAATATGTGCAGAAACAATGCCGATCTTCTCTTTATACATAAAGCCCACTTTGCGATAAGCTAACCTGTATGTTGGTACACAGCAATGATTTGGCAAGAGATTATGACGAGTCCCATCTAGCCTTTGAGATTCTTAAAGAATGTGACAGTTATACAGCAACACATCTCTTACTGATCCCATATTCTCTCTGTGTTTTTTTTTTCCCTCAAGCAGGAAAAGAGTCCAAAAAACAGAACATGATTCTCATGGGCAGGAAGGAAGCTCACTAAAGAAATGCACCAGATTTACCCAGCCCATGCGGCAGAATGGTATGGAGACGTAACTGACCAAAAGCAGATCAAGAGTTGAGTGAGAACAATCCCAGTGACTGCCTTCTCTCTCTCTCTCTTTCCCTTTCTCTCTCTCCCTCTCTCTCTGTCTCTCTCTCTCTCTCTCTCTCTCTGTCTCTCTCTCTCTGTCTCTCTCTCTCTCTCTCTCTCTCTCTCTCTCTCTCTCTCTCT